TGTGGGCGGGAGCTGCGGCCGTCGGGCGTGTAGGCGGGAGCTGCGTCTGGCGTGTGGGCGGGGCGGAAGCTTCGGCCGGCTGCGGTGTGGGCGGGGAGGGAGCTGCGGCCGATCTTTAGATTCAAAATTCAGTTTATGTGCCGCTACCCCGAAAGTAAGACCTAGCGGATTTCTGTAATATAAGACCTACCACCGAACTAGGTCTTATTTTCGGGGTAGGTCTTATATTACAGAAATCCCCGAAGATAGCGCTAGGTCTTACTTTCGGGGTAGGTCTTACTTTCGGGGAAACACGGTAGTATAACTAATAGATAATGTAAAGGAAAAGAACAGAGAAGTGAACAAATAAAGTTGTTCTGTAACATCAAAAATGGAAACTTGGCCCTTTAGTAGAAGAATACCCAAATGAAAATATCGGCCAGTATAAATGGTGCACAAAAGCATCAGAAACCTATAGATACTTAAACACAAGGGATGGCACAGCATCAGGAAATGAATGACCTGTCCACAATATTTGGTGCACATAAACACATGTAAGTCACATAAGAGCAGTGTAAGGTATAGCCACTTCAATTTATATCAATAACCATAAATGTCTTCTTTTTTTTTTTTATAAAGTAGGGAATAATTAAAACATGCTTGGCTTTTATAGATACCAGTTGGGAGTATTTACCCTCTTTGTCCTGATGACCATTATCATTGGAATATAAAGTAATGAGGAATATAAAATCTAAATTGCCTTCGTCAGCCAAAACTTTAAAAAAAAACTATAGTATGGATATACTTTTATATCTGGTTTCCAAACATCAAGCACTTATAGTATCAGCAAACATGATATTATTTGGTACAAAGTGAGACACAAAGAAAATTGCGTTTCACAAAGTTCGATTTGTTCTGTTATCAGTGAATATAAAACTTTTATGGGGAATTGAATTGGGACTAGTCTCATTTTAATAAAAAAAAGTATTTGGGGATGGGGCTAAAGCTTCAAATCGACTGCAGCTTGACTGGTTTGTTATTGTGGGGTCTTAGACACTGCAGGGCACAAACAGTATGAAAACATCAGTCACTAGACAGAGGTCTTAATTCCTTTTTATGTTCTTCATGTCAGAAAACTACTGTAGAAGTACCTCACATTGAAAATGCTTTAAAGGAAGATTCCATCAGTGATTTAAAAGGTATGATATTCACTTGATATATTCTCAATTTTCTTACAAAACCCTTCCCTTTTTTTTATCACTCATTTCTCTTTATTGGTATATACCCTCCTGTATAGTCCTGGGCATCATTATAATGAGAGACAGATCCACATATATGTGGTCAGCCTAAAATTTCTAAGCAGGCTTTACAGTGGACATAACATGATGAAGGTCCCCTCTTAAAGAAATTACGATACACTAGTTTTTAGGGCAGCTGTTAATAGCTGTTTTTCTATTTTACATTAAATTCAATTGTTTCTTTATGACAAATGTATCTTTATGCAGCCAGGCATGGTATACTTGTACTTGATGTCCAGTAACCTAGTGCAATCATTTTAAGGCAGCAGCAGACACCTGCTGCTCATGGGGGTCAGAAGACCTTGTCTGATCTTATTTGTACCCCTCCACTTTACCAGAATAAGCGGTTTCCTCTCTTCCCTTGGTTAGTAATGCTGTAAATGCTCTTTCCTTTTCCAGTCATATAAAAGTGTACGCTTTGCTGAAAAAGATCTATTTGTATAGAAGTAACAGTTACTTTTTTTTTTTTTTGCAGCTTCACAAGAAAAATTGTTAGCTCCACCTGTAGCAACAGAACCTAAAAAGTTTTCATCTTTCAAAACCGGTAATTAAAATTGGGATTTATAGTATATATGTGTTTAATGTTTTATGGTGGTAAAGTTTCTTATTCCTAATAATTTATTTTTTTAAGAGGAACTCTACCCAAATCTACAAACGGATACTTCTACATAATTGCAGGATTTTTATTCTTTGCATACTTTATTTTTACATTTCATCTCCAGACTTCTCACAGTGGACATTTGTATTAAGGGACAATAAATGTATCTCCCTTTTACTTCCTGGAACTCTGGCACTTGTGATCATGCACATCATCTCAGGGGAGGAAAATGCCTTTCCCTGAGGTCTTGTTATAATACAGATAAGATTTCCCAGCAATGCCCTGCTGATGTAACCTTCCGCAGATGCAATGCTTGGGCACAATTACATAATTTGTGCCAAAATGGACCAGAATGTAAACAAGAAATTATAAGTAAAATAAAAATGTTTGTTGAATGAAAGATGATTTCATATCAGCAAGTAGAGCTGTATGTTGATGTAATTTTTTAGTGAAAGGGGGTCAAGGTCCACTTTCACCTTTCACTATGCATTAGGTGAATGGGTCAGCATTCAAATTAACTATGTCAGTGATGGCAACTAACCAGGGGACTGATGAATAGCATATAAACTCCCTAGATTTCCACCCCTGCTTCTGGGACATTGGTGGTGCCTGAAAGGTAAATTCCTGTTGATACCAGAATAGTGTTTTGGTAGCGTTTTTTTGTGCCTCATGTTTGAAGAAATTGCTTAGTTTACATGGGCATATGTGCTGGGTACAAGCAAATTGAGGTGCCTGCATTCTTGCAGCAATGGGCAAACCAGATTGTATGTCTGGTGAGCCAGGCTCTCGGCTCTAATTATAAACCCATTTAATGACAGAAGTATATTATAGAAAACCTGTTGAATCAATATTCTGCAAGTTGACTTTGTAACAACCATAAAGTGAAGCAGAAATGCCGAAAACAGAAGTTTACCTGAATTAAGTACCTTTTGGGGACATTTTCCAGGGTGTCACATTTTTGTATTTCATAACAGAATTTGGAATTTCTTACTTATCCAATCACTTATTAATTTTGCCTCCAGCTAGCGTTATCTTCAAACACCTATAGACATTAGACTTTTACTCTGTATAGAACTGTCCAGTTCAAACAGCTCATGTCATATTGTCTTATATCTATGGATAAATACGCTGGTGTTTCACATCACTGCTGATTGGGGTTTGGTTTGACCCGGTCTCTTCTGGGCACTTCTCAGTAAATTTAGGAACAAAACTGGATGGTTGCAGAGGCTATTCAGGAGTAACATATAATGCTTACAGTCTATAGCTCAAATTTTGAACTCTTAAAAGTATTGTGTATCTGCTACCTGCCTGTCGCCTGTTAGCCAGAAAAGTCCCTCTGTTCTTGGTTTCACATGTTAACTAAGGGATTGACTTTTCTGACTTATGGACGAAGTTCTGTTCCTAGACTGCAGCCCTGCTGAAATGCTGTCCAGTGATTGGCCACAGAGACACTCTTGGAGGTGGGTAGGTAGGGTTGACCAGTAGACCAAGTTTAGCCCCATCACAGAGGGATTATAATCCTGAAAGAAAGAATAGCTTTAGAATTCTACATAGAAGAGGCATTAACTAACAATCCTAATATCAAGCGTCTTGTGGAGGCAAAGGGCATACTGCCTTTAGCAGTGGTTACATTTTGCATTTATAACCATCTAATATATGGATGATTAGATCATTCACGTATTCCCATGGCAGCATGATCTCTAAATTCTACTGTGATGTTTGCTGGTTGTTTCGTCCTGACTGGAGTTTGTCTTGAATGACAAGAGTTCACAAACGTATTCACTATCGTTGTAGTTTGGTTAGCAGATATCACTTGCTCTTTTCTACTTTCTAACTGTTAGGAGGTTGGGGTTTTTTTCTCACAATGTAGTGACGACAAAAGCATGTCTGCAATCTGATCTCACATTTTATATCAAAAGGTGCTGAGGATTTTCCTGTAAAATGCCTCCTTATTCCTTCAAATATATTGAGATTTGTAACAAGGAATATACAATTTAAGATCACGTGGGTTAAAGCAGACATTTGACTGATGAGTACATATGCGGTATATATATAAACCACTTACTCTTAAAATGTACATTGGGATTTAGGTTATAATCTCCTAAATCCATCTTTATCTTGCAGTGTAATCGTACAGTATTAATGAGATTCTTATAATCTCTAAGTATACTTTCCAAGTGGATACACTGCTATTTATTTTTTATTTTTTTTTAGCATAAGTGTTTATTGAAAAACAAGAAAGAGTGACAGTATATCAAACAGAGGACACATAGTCATGTATCTAAGTAAAGGCATAAGTAAGATCAGTATCAAATCATCAATAAAAAATAGAAATAATTCCTCTTGCAAGGGATGTTAAAAATTGTACTTGTATCATAGTGTCGACTTCTGAGAAAATCAGTCAGTCAATCAAGGAAGCAGGAACTGACATTTCTGGGGGAGTTCTGTATACCAACTGTGTACAGAATGCTTCCAGGTTGCCATATTGCATTTAATTTTTTGGACAGATATAGAAATTGCAGTGACTGTTTTTAAATGGAAAGGTAATTTTTAATAACATTACATTACAAAATGGCTTGTGCAGCAAATTATATATATGCTATATTATGTTTTTTAAAGAAAGTTTTCATTTTTATTAAGTGACGTTACCCTTCAAAGGAGTGTGCAGGTTCTTGGCCATTTGCGATAATGCTCATTTAGTAGCCAGATCATGCTTGTATTTCTGCCCACAATCTAATGTCTTTAGTGTTACTGCAATATATTGCACTGTGAGAATGTAGACGGATGATTAAAAAATAAAGTGATTAACAAATCTGATTTAGTTCTTAGCCATTGCATGAAATTAATGATTTATAAGAGCATATAATGCATTTACAGGTGAATGCTGGGGAGAAATGTCAGCAGGGTGTATAATCTTCTAAGTACATAATGCCAGTTCTCACATATGTATTTATACTGAATAAGTTCAGAAAATCTTTCTTTTTTTTCCCTTCAGACAGCTGGGCAATTAACTAAAAATTTGTTGGCTGCCTATGTATGCCCTAGTAAAGCTGGTAATAAGCAGTGATTTCAGCACATGTAGAAAATAGGTCATGCCCATGGCAATTGTAATGGCTTCTGTTTCATTTTGCAGGCAGGTAATACCTTCACAGTAAGAAGATTAACTGTGTGCGCTAATTCTTGTGCTAATTCATTTTTTTAGATTCAGATAAGCTACCAAATATTTAAATTCTTGGGTTTACTGCGAGGATTACTTCTACTTTACTAAACCATATAACCCTATAATTGCTAGCAGTGCAGTTGATTTGACCTATGTTTGTTATGGGTGGGTAGTATATAGGTTAAGAAACAACTGGCAGTGAGCGTTGACAGATCACTGTGAATTTAGCTGTTTGTAAAATGTCCACAGGCACCACATAAGCAATATCACAGAGTTCAGTAGACTAGAGCCATGGGCAACATCCGACAACAGGCAAGACAGATGCAGAGCTGTGTAAGTCCTGAGACAGATGGTCAGCACAGACAGTAGCAGATTCAGGAGGCTGATGCCCAGGTCAAGTGCAGGGGAATAGGGTCCAGTTGCTAGACAAGTAAAAGAAGCAATGATGGACAATAGAAGAATAACCGGCAGATGGTTAGACATACGGGCAAATGTAGTACAAATGCAGTTTGAACTATGACACAAATAATCCAAGGCAACCACACAGAAGTTTGTCTGACAGATTTCTATTTACAGCATGAGCAAATAGGCAAACCTATTGATCAGGCAAGAGCTGAATTCCTAGCATTCAATGTAACCATTCTTGATTAGGGTACAGATGTCCACTGCAGAACCTTGAGCTGCAGTGCTTAGTAATGACCAGAAGATGGGGAGGCTCAAAGGGTCCATTCACACCATCTGCGTTGGAGCTGCACTGGCCGTTTGTTTCCAGCACAGCCCCAACGCAAGACTAGCCAATTTGCCTTTTCATACACCATAGCATTCCCATCGCTGTATTTTTTTCAGCGCAGTGGGATGTGACCACCTCGCACCCCACTGTGCCTATAGAACTGAATGAAATGTCACTTGTGACATTTCAATAAAGTTCTAACAAATGAAAAGTGTGATGTGTTGGGATGTAAATGGGACCTCTTCATTTTAACCAATGCAAAGACACTGTAATATAATTTTAAGAGTACAAAATGTTTCTTACGTTTTTGGTCTTAGGCCCTTATCTGTAACATTGTCTGACATGCCGGAATATTTTGCAGCTTTTGTAGCAGAAATATTGGAGTTGACTAAGGGACATTTATTTATAGAAGAATTTTTGTCATGTTGCCTAAATTTCAACACACCTATGACCACATAAGTCTGCACAATACAATTACTAATAACTGAGCACAAATGAGGATTTCTTGTTAAGAATTATAGTGTTCATAATTCATTGCTAATTTAGTTTCTATTTGTATGAAAACTTCATCAGGTTTTTTTTTCCCTCTCCTTTGTTCAGCTGTTTACCAGGACTCGTATCCACCTAAAACAAGGCCACGATCTAGGTAATATTTTTCTTAAATATTTAAAAGACAAATAAGAATCTGTATTTACATGGGACTTGTAAATGAAACATGCCTTACAATAACAGAAATCTAAAACAATATAAAATGAACTACATAAACATTAAGGGCTTGTTTGCACCAGCCCACACGTCTACCACAATGTCCCCTCCCCGGAACCGAATGGATCGCAAAGTCTCCCTGCCTTTTGGAGTGGGAAGGGGCTTGGTAGTGCCATCCAAGTCCACGCCCACAGCACGGTCGGCCGCACAGGAACGCATGATAATAAAATGCCCTGCGTTCCAGTGCAGTAGGATCGCAAAAAATAGTGCATGCAAAAACTATTAAAGGTAATACATTTTGTTTTACAAATATTTTATTAAAGTATCAAGCATCAGCGAATTCTGATAATGATAGGAGAAGGCCTATTCACAATTTAATGACTTTAGTTTTGTTTATTGATCAAAGTGAGCTAGCTGGAAAATGGTTTTGTATCATATTACTATTTCTCTTTGACTGTGGACAGGTGGAGGTGGACAGTGATGTATAGAATATGTTCACTCCAAAGACGTGCTGGTTGTCCTTGGCATGTGTCTGTATGTGAGATAGAAACCTTAGATTGTAAACTGCTTGAGGGCATAGACTGATGTGAATTTTCAGTTTTAATATGTTTTGCTTTTGACCTTTTAAGTCTTATGTGGTCTCAGTCAGAGGAAGAAATTAAAGTTGGTAATGCTCAATTCTTCACCAACTATTAAAGGTATATTCAGCTAAGATTACACAATTAGCACAGCAGATTTAAAAAACTGAGGACATAGATTTACTACATATGCAGTTTCACACCACTGATACAATGAATTGTAAGAATTAAACGTTCTATTTAGTGTATTTTTAAGACCTCATAACACCTGTGAAAATGGAGTAAGATATGCCATTGCAACATAGAGTAGATAACCAGACATGGCATTCATTCTCTGCTCACATACTAACAGTAATAGTACTACTAACCTGTAATGCTTCTCCTCATCATCGTAAATAACATCAACTGGCAAAACCTTGACAGTGATGTAATACAAATATGCTCTTGGCATCCAACTTCCAAAACCATTGTCCATCAGCCTTTAAAAAGACTTCTGCATTCTCAAAACCAAATTGGAGTGATCTAAATAATTTAAGTTAATTTTACAAGTAGCACAAACAAAATCATGCCAAGTTTTTTAATCCTACTTAAGTGATTTATTCCTCAGTCAGGTATTGCTAATGGGTCTGATATACACAACTGAATTCGAACAGAATCCAGATGGAAGTCCTGTTTACAGTTGTTATTTCGGAATATTATTAGTGCTTACGCATACATCAGTTTCTCGAACAATTATATTATTATCTGCAAAATTATACAGAAAATACTATAACACTAGCACACATTTTGTTAAAAACATGTTATTTCTTACAATTATCATAATTTGGTCCTCAATATAATGTATTTGCTAGGTATTGCAATCATATTGATGTTGGCCATTTTCTTTTCTATTTATTTGTAAGAATGGTTTTACCAGTACAATGAAACTAGAGAGCACAAGCTTGAGAGAAATCAAAATGAAAAGTACTGTAATTAGAGCAGAAAGGCTGCAAAGCATTCTCTTGAAGCAGGGTGGACAAAGGTAAATGAACAGCAGCTTGAAGGGCTTACCTTTAAAACATCGCAGCTCAAATAAATGAACAGCACAAAGCTTAAGGCCTTGTTCACACCAAATGCAGAGCAGATCCGGTCAGGTTTCTGCACACGCACGCTAGTCTTTTAGATGCGTTTTTGGCTAAAAAAAAAAGTTTAGTTTAACATGGGCTTTCAGTGCGTTCCAGGCATTTGCATGCGTTTGCAGATCCAGAGCAGGTAAAATAGGGCCTGATGCAGTTTTTTTACCTGCTCTGGTCCTCCTCTGGAACTGCACGCTGCAATGTGAACTGGAGCTAAAAATACCATAGGAATACATTGGACGCAGTTTTGATCCGGTCTGCACCTGCTCCGCTCTGGACCTGCTCTACGCTTGGTGTGAACTAGCCCTTAGGCCTTGTTCACACCAAATGCAGAGCAGATCCGGTCAGGTTTCTGCACACGCACGCTAGTCTTTTAGATGCGTTTTTGGCTAAAAAGAAAATAAAAAATTCTAAGTTTAAAATGGGCATTTAGTGCGTTCCAGGCATTTGCATGCGTTTTTGATGCATTTTTGATGCGTTTGCAGATCCAGAGCAGATAAAGTAGGGCTTGCCGCAGTTTTTTCACCTGCTCTGGACCTGCTCTGGTACTGCATGCTGCGATGTGAACTGGAGCAAAAAATACTATTGGAATACATTGGACGCAGTTTTGATACGGTCTGCAACTGATCTGCTCTGCATCTGCTCCGCGCTTGGTGTGAACAAGGCCTTAGTGTTGGTAACCCTGACAGTACCAGATATCTATTTCCAAGCTCAGGTTGTTGCCCAGGCAGAATTAAAGGGGCATCCCTTTAGAAATTGTTTGTGCTGAAATACATACCAAAAACCTGTACAAGAATTTTCATGCCGGGCATTATTGGCCTGTATAATTTGTTTCAGTCATTAGTTAAAAGTGATCTTTTATATGAAAAGAACAAAATGCTGGATACTTTTTATCTAATTTATTAAAAATGTGTTGACTGTAGTCTTTTGTATTCTGGGATGTACAGCTATATTTCGCTTCCTGGTACATTTAAGACTAAAATAATTTCAGACTAAAATAATGTCAGCAAAAATTCCTCTTCTCTGCAAGTATATTCATCTGTCAACTTCACCTTTTTTGGTTCTAGTATGGAAAAAACATAAAAGGAATCTAGTGATTTTTTTTTTTTTTTATAGCTATCAGTTGATAATATCATGAATTGCAATTCTTCTTAATGAAAGTATATATTAACCCAGTCACTAAATTCTCATGTAAGCTTTAATATGTAAATTCAGAAGTAATTTTCAGTATTTTTAAAACTGCAGCTTTCATTAAAATAAAATCTGGTGATACTGCCTTGCAGGTCCTTGTGCAGGCACTTCCTGTTATAGGGTAAGAATACTCTGTCCCTGTCTCCCAATGGTGCTCCTGTGTTGTCACCCTATCACATGGTCTTCCAACGCTGACTACAACTGGCTGTTTCAGTACAACTTATGCAGGCATGGTCCACTGTTGTCACCCTAAGAAAAACCGGCCCTAAGAAACGCCATGCTGCCTTTACTGGAGTACCTATAGACAGGCAAGCATAAAGGCTGCAGGAGATGAGTAGCACTAGGTAGGTACAATAGTGGTGGCATGGGATTGGGTCCATTGGTGCTGATAATGTAAAAAGTCATGTAATTGTGCTGGTAATCCTAGCGAGTACAGTTAGAGAGAAGGGTGTGGTAATAAGCAAGGAACACAGACAAAATGGACAGCTGTGCATCTTTCATATGTGCTCTGAGTGCATGATGAAGACAAACTGACTATGTGGCACCATGATGAGGACATGTGCATACTCTGCATAAGTCACCACTGATAAGTGTCACTAAGTGAGAGCCAAACTGATCCTTTTGCAGGGTACATAGCAATGTCTATGTCTTTAAGGTCAAAGTTGGGAGCCACTTTTCTCATAATCCATTTTTTGTTTTCATGAAAAAAATAATTCATATAGTTCACATTCTATAATACATTGATTTTTTTCTCGTTCAGGTCTTACTCCAGCACATCTATAGAGGAAACTATGAAGAAAGTAGAAGAACCTCCCACACCACCACCAAGACCCCAGAAAACCCATTCTAGAGCTTCATCACTGGACTTGAGTAGAATCATCCAACAACATTCCCCAGGTTGTCAATCATTTCCTTTATAAATAGAATATGCTGCTTTGCAGTGTAATGTAAAACAGAAACTTGTTATTTTTTTTCCTTTTACCCTCAGTATAGTAAGCTTGCGAGATATGACTAACCCAATCATTTGATCAACTGATTTAGATAAATTACTGTACAGCCTTTCTTTTACCAAGACTCAGCTTAGTTGTGAGGTATAAGCTATTGGTTTTCTGACATCTTTCAAAGCTGATAAATGCTTCCATTCCTGCAACTGTTTTATTATTATATAACTCTTAGCCAAACAGATAATAGGGTAGACGGAGACATAATTCAGTGCAAATCAACCCATGGATTTTCTGTTTTGTTTGATTATTTAAATTGCCTAAAAATGTAAAGCAAGGATAAGTCTAAAGGCTTTTTACCTCTACAAAACCAACTGTGATCACAGCAGATTGTACTGTTAGCTAACAGCATTTCTTATATCGAGCAGCCAGACACAATTACACTGTAATTTGCTGTGTGGAAATCAGTAGTTAGCTCTAATTCACCTTCAATTAACATAATTAGAAAGGGCTGAGTAGGAAAAAGATCTATACTGCAGTATTCACATGCACAAAGAAATAAAAAGGACATAGGTTATATATAGCATTGTAGTTTGCATTTTATCGCATACGGCCAATCGAATGGCCAGGGTTTATACTTTTTTTCCCTACCTTACATATTACAGATTTATAGTTCACACTGAGATCCAGACTAGATGGACTTATTTTTTAGGGGAAACGGTTCCCAATTCAATAGTAAAACTAATGTGGTGTGAATAGAAATGGGCATGAGTTAATTTAAGAGGAACATGATTATTAAACTTCACCAAGCTGAATGTCATTGGTATAATGATCGATACAGTGACAAAAAAAATATTTTTTATTTACATTTTGTGTTCTAGAAAGATGTATGCAATATATGTGAATTGTATTTCTTTGGAAAATATAACTTAATCTTGAGTCATACTTTCTCTTTTTTTGCTCCTAAAGACTTTTATGTTAAATATATGCATTCCTTAGAACACTGTGTCAGTCCCCACCTGTAATATTTTAGTAGTTTGAAATTTAATTTTAAAAGAAAAGCTTCACCTTCAATAAAAATAATACATTTTTATGTATACCAGAAGCTCCTGGAAAGAAAATTGCAATTGATGTGTAAAGCTGGCCATACACTGTAATATTTTCTTCCTTCAACCTCCAGGCTGGACAAAGAAAATATTACAGATTCTTCCATCAACGCTTAAAAGCATTGATCAAGGACTCTCCCGCTGTCTTCATTGACCGCCGCCTCTGTTCGTTCGAAGATTTTCCGAATGGCTCCTTCGATCAGCTGATCGAGGGATGCTGGGCCAAAAGGGTGCCGACAGTGGCACCCACAATTTCGCACAGTGTATGGCCACCTTTACCCTTGCTCAAGACAAGCCCTGTTTCCAGAGTTAGAGCCTGCAGCCTTCTGGCTCTAAATACACCCTGCTGCACTTTGAAATATCTGTAGCGGGGTTTACAGATTATGCACTGAGATTACTCACTCATATAAAGTGTAGAACTTGCAAATAAAATCTGAAATTTCAGCTAGAATTGTTTGTCAACATTTTAGAAATGGTCTTCAAAATAATTTTGAAAATCTTCACCAGTCTAAGTAGTTGGTAGATGTCCACAGAATGTATTTAAGTATAGGGAGGGTTACTTTTGTTGCTTTTGTTATAGCTAGATTTTAGTAGTCCCTCACAGCTATTAAATAAATACAGTCGGGAAAAACAGGTCCACAATTGTTCTACTGATTGCGTAGCCAACATTTATTTTCTCTGTGAAAAATAGATTCCATACTGCTGAAGTACATCTTGTTGAGTGGTCTCATTTAATTTTCTTTTTATGGGTTTATACAGCTCCTCGATCTGGATGGATACAACCTCCTCCTGCTCTGCCTCCAAGACCTGGTGTGTCCCAGGTAAGAAGATGTTTACTATCAAAGGCTCACTTAACTTAAATGACATACCCACCATACTTGAACAGATCTGGTAGCTTCCACACTTCCGGAACTCCATGAGATACTTAGGAATAATCCTTTAGATTATTATTTGCAGGGTTGCAGATGTGTTTGTGATGGGTCATTAAATGTCTTTGTAGCCTATTTTTTCCACATGTGAAATCAGTGGCAAGTGATATAGCACACTGACTATGATTGACAGCACAGACATGAATATGGAACTAGAACACATGTGAGGTGGGGGTGTTGGAGGCAAATACACAGACCAAATCTGAGCTTTGCTCTACAGGGGTCCCAAGAGGCTAATACCAAGTCAAATTCAGTTACTTACACTGCTTGTACATATATAGAAAAATACATTACATTTCATGATGTATTAAGGCATACAGAGCTGTATTCATTTATCTGGCCGGTCTGGGTGATCACCCATCCTTGGTTCAAGCTGTTAGTCTTTCGTTACTGCCATTATA